GACAGGAAAAAACGAGAGAGATAATTAAAAATTCCTTATATATTCCTTAATATAGTTGTCAGGCATTTACGGCGCCTTCAACCAATAGTTTTTTTTTTTTTGTTTTTTTTTCTGTCTCTATATGCTGCTTTATGTTTCATTTATCCATTCCATCAGCACACCCCTGAAATGCCGCCCCCCCATCCCTCCCCCAAGGGGTGTGTCCTCCACTTTGGGAACCCTTTGAATTACTTGTACAAGGGCAGATGAAATTGACCAACTTTATGGAGGTAAAAATTTAGAGTTCAAATGAGAACTTTATTTGTCTTTGGATTTTTCTAATATTATACAGAAAGGTTTTTATATTCAGAAATCTAGTTTATCCTCAATGAATCCTGATTCATTTACAGCTCCACTGCGATTAATCAATTTAAAATCCATTCTTTGACACAGCCCTAATACCGATGCATCGATAACATTGACGACCGACTCCGGCGCTTATCGTAGACTTAAATCAATCAATACTCTACTGTAAACACTGGCAAGAAGAAAATAAAACATCGGGACTGGGTTGAGAGAGGCAGTAAGACCCAGAGGAGGAGCCAAGAGAGAGAGAGAGGGCGAGAGCGAGAGAGGGCGAGAGCGAGAGAGTGAGAGAGACACACACATACACACTGAGGGAGTGGTGGGAGGAGAGAGGAGGTGGGACTGTGTTCCCTCCCAGCTCTGTGTGCAGCAGCTCTGGGTGTCAGCGCACCAGTGTGTCCCAGTCGATCAGTCCGCGTGAGTGTGTGTGCATCTGTGCGCCTCTGCCGCTGCTGCTGCTGCTCTTGCTCTCTCTCTCTCTGTGTGTGTGAATGTGTGTGTGTGTGAATGAAGGGGCCAATCAAAGACGGCCTTTTCGGGAGAACTCGCCCATCTCAGCTACATCCTGTCTCCCTCGTTCTCCGGGTCTCTACGAGCGACAGGCTGAGATGACATGACTGCACTCGAGAGGAAGAAAGGGAAGGACCTGTAAGGACCATATATATATATATATATATATATATACGCTCTCAGCTTTTAATACACACACACACACACACGCTGAAAGAGTGATGGACGCTCACCTTGCCCTCCACATTCCCTCACGCACACTTGACTTCCTTGACTCTCTGCATTGACAAAGAGATAATAGTTGAGTGTGTGTGTGTGCACGTGTTGGAGACACCGTCACGGCCGGTGTGTCCTGTACGCACAGGACGCAACTCCGGCGCACTCTTAGAGGCGAGGATCCTGATGACTTGTGTTTGGTGTTTGCAGACGCGGTCAGCAAGTGTTTCTGCGTCCTGAAGAGAGTTCAGCTCCGGCTCTGCCCACAAGACCGTCTACCACGGTGTTGGAACAGCTCCAGGTAGGATCCTCGTCTCTTCTGCTTCTTTCGTACGCCACCTATACGCCCCTGTCCATCACTCGGTAAAAGCTCGAGGTCAACTCGAATAAATCCTCCTCACTGTACTTCGCTCTTCTGCTAACCCTTTCATCTTAGAATCCCACTGTATGGAGGGGATTCTTTTAACCCTCTTCCCCCCTCCCCCCCCCCCCCCCCCCCACACCCCTCACTCCACCCA